ATATATTATAATATATTGATATCTTTCATATATAAATATATTTATTTCATATCTAGCTTATCAAATTTTTCGTGAATCTTCTAAATCCTTTTATATTCGCGATCTTATATAATCATAAATAAAGATCTTTAGAAGAATCCTCAGCTATAATAATGAAATGAATATAATGAATTTATCATATTTTCTTCTAGAAGGGGAGGTCGAGATTCTTGATATAGATCTTTAGGTTTATTGATTTTCATGAATTATATTGATATTAAATCTAAATCAAATTAAAGAAATAAAAGATATAATAGATTATAGATATATTTCGAAATTGATCAGAATTATTAAATTTTTTTTTTATATATCGAATATTTGAAAATATTTAATTCATATTCTATAATATAATTTATTTCGAATAATTGAAAATCGAAATAATTTCTCGATATGTTTTATTCTTTGCTTAATAAAGCAATATTATAAAAATTTATTAATTTAATTTCGAAAAAATATGAAGTCATAAATATCCATTCTTATTTTTCTTAATAAGCTATTTTATTAAATCAGAGCAATCAACCTTCAAATAATCATCTATTCATTCTAATCTCTTTATTTATTTATATATGAATATAAATTTATAAAATCTCGTTTGCACTAATATGCGCCCATCCCAATCCCGCCCACGTGCCAGGAATTGCAAAATATAGATGCGGGCGGTCGTGTGCACCTTAAGGGCAATATATATTATCTCCCTTCTTCCCCCCGGTTCATTGATCTGCGAGCATTGGGCATGCTTCAAAAAGATCATGCTATTATTATGATTTCTATCTTTAGAGGCCATTGGGCATGAGCCATCTCGCCAATTATTAGGCGCCTCCCATACCTTAAACACTCCTTTCTTATTAATGAATTATATTGACCCGCCATTTTCTGAGATCTATAATCTCTCACTTTCTAAGATAAAGGCCGGCCTACGAATTTATCAATCAGAAAATTCTGTATAAAATATATATAATCGAATTTAATTTCGAATCGCCTCCCAGCTTCGCCAGCCTATAAAGAGCTATCTATATGGAGCATTTCATAGACGTCTATGACTTGGGGTCATAATCTATATAAAATCTTATTTGCACTCATATGTGCCCGCCCCAACCCGCCTATATATTAAGAACTACAACACATATATAACGACGGACGTATATACCTCAAAATACTAAAAATAAATAAAAATAATATCAAAATTTCTATATTAAATCGAAAAGAATTCTAAAATTTTTTAAATTATTATCAGACCTTTCAAATATTAGATTTTATCGAAGTAAAATTATATTTAATATATATAGAATAATTCTCAAAATTTAGAATTATAATAAATACACTAATAAAATAAAATATTTCTGAAATATTATATTCAAATAATACTAAGAAATATAATCATTATATGAGAAAATATATATTCTTCTTTAAAAATACGAGCTATAGATATCTCTACTTGTCTTCAATTTCGCACTCCCATAACGCCATATTCCCTGAGACATTCCCGTTACCCACGAATCCCCGCACTCGACTCACCCACCCCTGCCACTCCACGAAATTTCCCGATGGACACGCTCTTGCCATACCATGACATTCGCCCTCGCCCGCCTCCCCGCACCACAAACGCCCTTGCCCGATGCATCGCGACACTCCCCGCGATATTCATGCGCTCGCCCATGGCACTACTTCGCGCCACGCCCTCGTCGCCCTCGCCCGCCACTCCACGACACTCCCCACGACACATACGCGAACTTACATTTCCACATTTCGGATTGCAGATACGATATTTAATCGATCCTAAACTTTGCAAAAAAAATCAGTCCGGGCATTCGCTAATATTCCAAGAATATTCGACAGAAAACCTCCCAAATTCCGGAAATATTCGAGAATGCCTTTTAGAGCCTTCACGTAAGACCAAAAGGCCCGGAAAGAAAGAGAGGCCATCCGAAGAGCTTGCTGCAAAGCCGCAACGCACCCTAATACGTATGCAATTATAGAGATATTATGTTTTTATAATAAGTATTAATTTAATAAACCATATAATATGAAATTCAATTTTCTGAAATCTGAATAGAATAATAAGAAATATATTTCTAGATAATTAATAAGAACTCCCAAATCTCATATCTTATTTTTCAAGAGACACAGAAATAAGATTCTTGTAAAAACCAATATAGAATTCATCGAATTAAAAAAGTTTGGTATATATATATATATATGTATAGAATACGGTTATTATCTCGATATAATCCCAGATGTTATTGATATTTATCTATAATATTATAAATGGTGAATTTGTTCCTTCGTTATGTCTTCTCTCATATCAAAAGATTTTTGAGGCGTAGGAATAGTCTCAAAACCGGAATATTTCGTCTCAAAAAATTGATCTACTCAGGCAGTGGTATATGTAGCATGCAACCGCAACAACAGGGAAAGTAGGTGAAGTCGTTGACTGTCTTTTCTCATCTTTTCGCAGTCTTTTGATTTTGAGGTCTATCTATCTCCGACCACCACGGCCGCCTGGCAAGGCTGGAGATAGGCCCCCCCTGTAATATGGGGTCTTCATTATTTATTAGAAAAAACCTTTGGGGTAAATGATGGGGGTGTCGTGTCTTTTGGGGTATACCGGAGTATAGTCACATTAAGGTGGTCAGAATAGGTCCTTAGTGCTTAATCTGCTTCATGACTACGTACACTCACTTGAACTGACTAATGTCGACAGGAAGGGCCTTTCACTTTGAAACTGCTTTGAGGTGTGTTGTTGGCGAATGGCTGTCTGCAGCTTTTGGCCTATGCTCTGAGGCAAACCCACCTCGTGTCACCACAAAACCAGCACCCGCCTTTGCGGCTATCTGATCGGCTGTCGTCGTCTCGGCTGTCCTGCGACATCTGTAGGTCTGCAGCCATGAGGGGAAATTTCGGTTCTGACAATAGCATGTATATGACACTCTGGAACTTGTTTTTGCTCCCGCGTTGGCAGAACTCGTCCGCAATGATCGGGCACCAGAGACCATTGCAATTACGCGAACCAACACTGCTGTGTCACCCCAACTGCCTTTCAATCCAAGATCTCATCCCTAAAACCGTCCTCAGCAGGCTTTCTGCGGACTTTGCGCTTCCTGACTTTGACCCGGCCAGCGCTCTGCTGGCCTGCAAAATGTTGTGTTGGGAATTGTGCCAATGCGTTGGGCTTCAGGATTTACGCGTTTGGTTTGATAGTTCGCGTTTTGGACATCTTGACCACGTGGAGATGGAATGGCAAGCATGATACACTATACCGGTGGCTCCGTGTTTACATGCGTTGCTGCGCTTACTACGTGTGCGATGTCTGCGTTGTTATCCTTTTTGGCTGCCGCGTCGTGGTGCTGCCGTCACTGCTCCTGCTATAAGACCGGGCATATCACATTTCAGACCATGATTGCCAGTCTTTTGCTGGTATAAGTGCTGCTTACAACATGGCGCTGTGAATGTCTCCATTATTGTTTCTATTGTCATCTTCTTCCTCCCATCTTGCTATGTTGCTACTGGTGGCTGTGTGTTTCACTACAGCTTCTAGCACGACTCTCGCCAAGACGCCCGTGTCCCTGCACCAAAGCATTTGCGTACAAAACGCAAGCAACATCTCCTTGTGAGAAGTATCCTACTCCCACTAAACAGCTAGTGTCGCTTGCCGCGTGCAATCCTCAACCGCCTTGCAGCATGCTGTCGAGGAAAAGGATTTGGGAAAACGCCCAAGCCTTTGCTTACCTTCTTGCGGCTTCTCGCGGTTTCTCTGGAGTCATCCTCGCGACTGTCCTGATTCATGCTCCAGAGCAAGCATGACAATATCGCCACAAATTTGTTAAGGAATGCTTACACTTGTCGGACAAAATACACGCAAATCTCCTCATCTTCGTCACTTGCGGATGCTTGCTGCCGCTTTCCGGTGCCTGATGTGCCAATTATGCCACGGCAACAAGTGCCCCACGAGATCAACAAACAACCACTGAATACGCAACCTTGGGCAACGGCTCGCACCACGCTTTTTGCTAACTTTCGGCTTTCTCTCACTTTCTTCGTCCTCATCGCTTTCACTTGCATCCTGTTGGAAACAAGACACATGCTGCAATCGGGGCACGAAAGTAATCAAACAAGAAATGTTCGCTGCCTCCGGTGCAATTTGCTGATGCATCCATAGCAGAGCTACGAAGCTCACGGGCGCTGGACTCGTCTTCGACAGTCAATGTATGGCCGTCCGGATTTCCGACAGCCTTCTTCGCAGCTTTTTTTCGGCTTGGTGCAGGCCTTAGCTCGTTCTGCTCCGAAAGCTCCGAATGACTTGGGCCACCCCCACACGTCTCAGGCAACTGCATGCAAGAAATCCTGTACCAGTATCTCAGTATGGTGATCAAAGCTCGCTTCCTCATGATGGGAAATACCAACTTTTTATAATGTGTGTATATAAGAATATATATGATAATAAATGTGTATCAAACATTGCCTTTCGTTATTGCGGCTGCAGTAGCCAGGTATCGTTGTTGCCCGTGGGTGCTCTTCTACTTTCCGATCTACCGGCAGCCAACGTCTGTTGCTACCTTTGCTCTTGTGTTGTAGTGCTGTAACCCTAACACTGGTCAACCAGAAAGGAAACTACGTTGGAGAGTCCAGATTGTGTTCCACTGATTCACGAACACCGGCCTAGTCAGAACTGCTTCTAGAAATTAGGGCTCCGAGTTATAGGATTCTGGTGGCTATGCTCAGAAATTACGGCTTGAGTTTGGGGGAATGGGGAGCTGCAGGGCATGATGGCTACTGTCTGAGGTCATGGCACGTTTTTCTTCTTCTTTGGCTTTGCTTTTGCTCCTGGTCAACCCCGTGCGAATAGAATGGAACTCATCATGCAAAAGCCTCAAGCACACCTCAGGCCACGTTCTTCATGTAAATGCGAGTAACGGCACAGCAAACCCGGACGCCAGCCGACCTTCCACTACTGAGCTCAGCACTCTCTTCGGCTTCGGCGGAGGACTCCTCTGGCAGGGTTCAGGAATCAAGAAACCAATCCCCTGAAATCGGATCATCTAGCCTGCCCGGAACTACGAGTATTGCAGCTTCACAACACTCCCGTTCAAAATCCCACACTCGGGATCCACTGATTTGCAAGGCCTCATCCGACTGCTGCTTGTTTTCCTCTTGCAGCTTCTTGTGCTCCTGCTATCCGGATAGGAGTCGAACCATTACGAATGGGTCTGGGGCCTGTCATGTGCATGAGCCCCTACTACCATAGCCTCCGAGATCAGACTTCGGCACGGCAAAGGGCGACAGAGTGGTTTTTCGAAGCTGTGGTCACCCTTCCTTTGCACTACTACCTTCTTCGGCAGGGGAAGATTGCGATAACGACAACTCCCCTAAGATCGGGGCGGTCATCTGGAGGACAGTGATAGCACTCCGAGCTCTGCGCTCCCTGCCGGTCATAAGCAAAGCCTGCATCTACCTTGAGCCCCTGCCCTGGACATAACGGTCCCGACCCCTGGACATCCCTAAACCCTAAACCCCTAAACCCCTGATCCCTCTCCTTCGGCGTAAAGGTCGCCACAGGGGTGGTCTGCACCGGAATGGGCTTTGCGGCTTTTGCTTCCGGCTCAGGCTCCTCGAGCACCTTCGGATCAGGGCGTTCTGGTTGCTTACAAGGTTTAGGGTTTAGGGTTTAGGTGAAATAGGCTTGGAGCCCTGGGTAATCTATCCGAAGTTTCGGGGCGACGGCCTCGATGTTCCTCCTTCCGGAGTGTTCACAATAGCTTTAGGGTGCGGTATCCCCGCGAAGATTCAGACACTTCGCAAGCATTCCTGATGACCCGACTTCATCTAAGGTCCGAGCCCATTTCCAGCCTCCTTCTTTTACATGCGTCTTTGGGACAGTCCTCGGTCACCGGCCCATGCTTGTGGAAGGCTCTACTACCGCTTACGGGCCTCCGAACTGAGTGTATCACTGCTCGGTTATCGAGTCTCCGGCTTTCCACCTTCCAAACGCCACATCCCCGCAGGGCCGCCGTGATCACCGATCACGCGGTATCGATCTCCCCTGGGCGAGAGTAGAGGCAAGAGACAAACAAAAGGGAGAGTAAGCGATGGCAATCATCGTCGTCATCATGCTCTTTGCAATCCATCACCACTGTCATCGTTACATGGCCTCGTCGTGAAACAACACACCGCAAGCAAAGGAGACCGTGAAACCCACGCACCCGGCCTTCTGCACTCGTACTTGGGTTTGAGAATCTCAACCACTCCGTCCACACCTCGAAAAGGGAAGCTAGTTTCTGTTTGCTAAGGGTGGCTGTGGCACGGGAGCTTAGGATCCTTTTTGTTTAATCTCTTTCTTTTGAAGTGCCCAAATACCTCCTCCCCGATGACGAAGAGAGGGCCTGCTTGCTATCTTGATGAGACTAAGTAATACGCATTGTTTGTTACAGTTTCAGACATTGCTTTCTCCTGGCATTCGGTGGCTCAACGACCTCAGTCGTGCTATCACCCTTCCGGGCTTCATAACTAGACATCGAGAACCGGTCTGGGAATTTCTCCGGCCAATGCCATTAGTTCAGGCATTGCTGCTGTTGCAACCAGCAGCACGGGACAGCTGCGGCTTCTCGCGCTGGTGCGAATGAAGCGGTTGCAACGTCGGTAATGTTTGTTTGGCAATTTGTTTGGTGCCACTGCTTTTGGTTGTCAGTACCAGTAGACTTGTGCTAACAATACGACTTTGTTTTTGTGCATACTTTTGCAGTCCTCCTAGTTCTTGTGACAACTAGCCGACCTCAATGTGTCGTCACCGTCGACACTGTTGCAGTGATGTGCGCAGAAAAGAGAAGTGAGTAGCGCTGACATTGTATTTTTGTAGTCAGTAAGAAGTAGGTATTGACTAGTGAGCAGTACGCCGCAGGTGGTGAGTAGTAATAACTAGAAGGTTGTAGTAGTAAGCTGCAGTAAGAAATAGTTAGAAAGTAGTAGTCGTCGTCACGGTGGTGGTAGCAGCAGCAGTAGCAGTAGCAGCAGTGGTAGTAGTAGTAGTAGTAGTAGTAGTGGTGGTGGTAGTAGTAGTAGTAGTAGTAGTAGTAGAAGTAGTAGCAGTAGAAATGGTAGTAGCAGCCGTAGTAGCAACGGTAGTACCAGTAGCAGTAGCAGCAGCAGCAGCAGCAGTAGCAGTAGCAGTAGCAGTAGCAGCAGCAGGAGCAGGAGCAGGAGCAGGAGCAGGAGCAGTAGCAGCAGCAGTGACGGTGGCAGTGGCAGTGGCAGCAGTG